AAGCTTACTTAATATTTTATGTATATTAACTTCTTATTAATTTAATTTGAGTTGTAAGAGAGTTCTTTTATCTTTATCCTTAGATTGTGGGCTAATTGGATTCCTTAATATATAGTTATAACTCTATTAGCTTTGCTTCCAAAAGTTATTTTCTCATAGACAAATATTATATAAAACGAAGCAAAAAATTATTTTATTGTCTTAAAAATATATATGTACAACTCTGATAATATATTCTAGAAACTAAACTTATTGATAAAAATGAAAAAAAGGCATAATTTAATTACAATTATAAATTTTACATTAAATATTTTAAAATTTGAGTTCCCTTAATAGTTTCTTCCATTTAGTAAGAATCATTTGGGAAAAATAACTATAATATTTAAACCAACTAGACCTAATTATATTAATTGTGTATCTCTTAAATGATATTAAATCTTTAGGTTTTAAGCTTGTTGTAGTATTAACAATTGTTTATTAAGTTTAAAAAATCTCATTGTCCATACACATTACAGATGCTAATGGTGATCTCAAATTTACTCAAAAAATATTTTGAATCCAACAATTCAAGGTATGGAACATTATTGGTATGACAGATCAAGATGATCCATGGTAGTTAACCATCAAATATGAGCTCACATGGAGATCCAATATTTCCGTCTCTCTACTTTGAACAATACATATTCACTCATGTGTAAACCTAGCCAGTAAGGAGAAGGCAATATTGTATTCAAGGTTAATTTTAACAGTCAATATATTTTTACATTGTCATTTATAAAAACACCTACAATGGTGAAAGTTACATGAAACAAACAATAGCATTAATGCCACGCACAAGTCTCAAATAGACTTCATTTTTTAGGTTATACTTGTATAGATATACGTTCGTTATATCTCAGCTTCTTCTCTTAATTTTACTATTAAAAAACCTCTAAAATAATCGACATATATCCATAATCAGCATTTTTTATTATTTAAAAGTAAAGATATTCTCATCCTACAGAAACATCAAAAGATTTCTAGCTATATTACATTGTAAAATCTCGCGATGAATTTTTATAATATTCGTGTAAATCTAAATTTCTTTAATATGATTACTCGTTAAAGGTTTTATATGCTTTATCTAAAACAAATAGAAATTAGTTTTATAAAAATAATTTAATTTTTAATTCAATCTCTAATGGCTGAAAAATATGAATACAGGGAGACACATATTTTTTGGAAAACTTTCTCCATCCGCTAAGTAGGGCTGTCATAAATTGACAACGACACCGAAAACCCGCTCGAACACGACCCATTTGAAAAAACGGGTCCGGGTTCGGTTCATAAAAGTGACCCGGATGGAATTCGGGTCGGGTCCGGCGCTAAGGGCAATGAAAGGGAGAGATATAAGAGGCATTATTTTCATTTTATAATCAAATAAATATTATCAACACATTATTTTAAGGCAAATTTTATTATATTTAAATTATATAAATATCATTCTCATTAACTTATTACAAACATATTGTCTTTCTTTTATTGCTCTTTTTCTCTATCCTATATATAAAGATACACTTGATTTGCATCAATCACTTGAGACATCCAAATAGTGGCAGCAAAGGAACTCCCTAAGTCATCTCTTCTTTAAACATAAACGACAAAGATTCAATCTTTGTCAGCCCAAAATCTCTCCTCTTTCCCCGGCAAGCTTTTCTGAAAACTGTACCTGCATGTCACCATCCCTTTTGGACTGAAGTTGAAGACACTTTAGTTCTGTTCGAAAAGCAACTAAACTTATCGT